CATGGTTGTTTGTCCTGTTTGTCTCTGTGTTGCCCTGTGACAGACTGGCGACCTGTCCAGGTTGTACCCCGCCTCTCACCCAAAATGTTTGCTGGAGATAGGCACCAGCACCCCTTCTAACCCCGTTCGGGACAAGGGTGTTAGAAAATGGATGGATGTTTAAGAAGGAAATGCAGATTTTATGAAAAGTGTGTTTAATACCTGCTTAAAGGTTGTTATTTTTCAAAAGCTATCTTTAGACAAACATAGCTCACCAGAACAAATATTCAAATTTATTGAATATGTTGTGCAAAGTATGAATTATTCAGAAGAAATATGGCACACTATGAAGTGAAGAGATTTTGTGAAGATGTCCTTTTTGACACATCATGACCCTAAGAAAAAATACCATGGTTTAACACTATCAAGACCAACGCTAAAGAAGCTGGCTGTTCACAGAGTGCAAGTATAGTAAATGAAAGTTGAGTGGAAGGAAAAAGTGTGGTGGCACACCACACTTTTCTGGAGCAGAAGGTCCTAGAATTTCTAGATACCTCAACAAGGCCTCCATACCACTCTGAATAGATGCAGTTAGTCATGCAAAAGGGAGTTCTGACTATGTTAGCTGACATTTTTGAATGAACAAAACATTTTTATTGGTTTTAATATTCTAATTTATTGAGTGGATCTATAGAGTTGGAAAAACATTTTGTAATTTCAACTTAAACATTTTATCTATTTATTTTAGTCGATTTTCATTGGTACAGTCATTGTTTGAATACTTTAAAAATGGCCTTGCTGAAGAACAAGTAAGCTGATACTGATTCTATCAAGTGGGCCCACCTACATGGTTACCAGATGAAGGGGTGATGCAAATTTTCTTTCTGATTCTATTTTAAATGCTGATATTGGGTGTTTTTTTTGTTTGTTTGTTTTGTTTTTGTTTTTTGTTTTTGAGCAAGCTGCTAAAAAATACTTTCCTTTACAAAGGGAGAGGGTGAACGTGAATGACTTTCCCTTTTGGCTCTATAAACATTGTTGATACCTGGACCTCTCCAAAGGTTCACCTGTATTCATCACATTGTTTGTTTGTTTCAGGATCTCCAAATTACACAGGAAAATTTAAAATGTTAATTCGATTAAAGGAACGCAATGTGAGACTCAGGACAGAAAGCCCAAACTATGTGCGGTCCAAAGTGTCTTAAAATAGAGATCTCAAACATGTCTTATTGGGAGATTCTCAGAGGAGACGCTCCTTCCCCGAAATGTACTAAATACAGATAATGTTTTATGTCCTTTTTAAAGAAAACTGCTGTGAGACCTTTAACTCTAGACTCTTTCTTTGACTGAAGTTTTTCCAGTGCCCATATAAACCAAACGATCTAGAGCGGAGGATGTTCTTCTTTTGACAGCAGCTTGTGTTTTGGATCTCACCGCTCTTATAGGTGGGTGTTTATGTGAGAAAATGACAAATCTAGGTCTCTTACGAAATCTGCTTCTGGAAGATGCAACATAAGAGCATGGGCGTGTGTGTGCATGTGTGTTTGCGTGATTTGGATTTCTGTGCATTTGGTTCTGCATGTTATTTAATCACAGGAAGAAAGTCAAGACACGACAGAAACTGGCGAGGGAGAAGAAATAAACGAGGAGTTCTCTGTTGTTAAAAAAAGAGACAATCCCTGCTCTGCAGTTACCATGACAACAGTGACATCACTGAGGGTTACCTCCTTTTCTTCTTTGCAGTCGTGCTCAGAGACTCTGATCAGTGTTAATGTGTTTGTCTGCAGTGGACGTGTGGACATGCGGAAGCTTCTCTGTGTGAACTATTTATAAAAGGAATCATAGGGTCAAACGTCTGGTCTAGACGGGACCGTGGATACCCACTGTTGCCATGCAACTGCAGCCATGACAACAAGTTGAAGCATGATGTAGCGTTGCTAAGCAAAAGGAAAGAGTGGAGGTGGGGACTTATGGACAACTATGAGATACATGCAGCATTTTACAGGTTCAGCGTTCATGAGAAGCAGGTCAACCTTCAGTTCACACATATTAAACATGAATTAGTTTATGGTCATAATTTACTGACAGTTTCTCATCTAAAGTCAGAGCTTCTGCAGTGGAAGCCAGATATTTTCATGGTCTAAATCAATCATTAACTTGTAGAAGGACAACAAAGCATCTAGCCCACGTAATACAGGTAGTTCTTCCAGATACTAATATAAACTTGATTTTAAGATCTTCTCTCATCATTTTGGAGTTTAACAAAAATAAATAATTTTGGTGATCCTAATATCTGATTGTAAGTCTCATCTATTAGGCTACCTAATTTAAAGGCTAAATTAGGTAGCCTTTAATTTTATTTGATGTTTATTTAATTGCATTTAATTTATATTATTACTTTTATTTTGACCTGTTTACTTTATGTTCTATTAGTTTTTGGACATCATGAATCTTGTGATTCATGATATCCATGAATCAAAAGACTTTTCTATTTAATTGTTTATTTTTTAAATAGAAGCAAATGTCTTAGAATAAAACATTGCATTTCTTGTTTAAGCTAACATCTAATAAAATTGATTTAAATTTGATGATATGTGAACATTTACAGGTTTATGAACAACCGTGTTCCTCCTAACAAGCGATATCAACCCACAGACTATGAGCATGCTGCCAACTGTGCCACGCATGCGGTCAGTATGTACACACACACGCACACACACACACTCACCCACACGCAATGCATACACACACACCACATATAAACTGATATGTAAGATCTTAAAAATAAAGCAGGATACTCATACTGTAATTAGTTTTAAAGTTGTGCCATTATTGCATGCACAATTGTGCTTTCATCCTGCTAGTTTGTGTATTATCCTCTGTAATCTAATGTGTTATTTATGTTCTAAATTGGTTTAGATGTGGATAATCCCCAGCCTGCTGGGCAGCTCACTGTTGCACTACGAGTCAGAAGACCAATGGGAGCGGTTGTCAGCCTGGGTATATGGGGCGGGGCTCAGTTCACTCTTCATCATCTCCACTCTGTTCCACACTGTGGCCTGGAAGAAAAGCCACCTTCGGTACCAAGACACATTTACATAGCATTGGAGAAATATCACGCCAACTTTTATACAGCAGCTTTTCGTTTTTAAAAAAAGAAGCTTTTTCTTTAAAAATGTAAAAACTATGCATGATTTTCTTTGGACTTCACAATTATATATGCATTACTTTGTGTTGGTCTGTCACTACAAATCCTTATGAGGATGTGGTAATAACAGAAGGACCATAGGACTGAGGTGTCAATGTTTTTTTTTTTTTACAAAATTTCTATCTATCTATCTATCTATCTACCTATCTCTCTATCTATCTATCTATCTATCTATCTGTCTGTCTGTCTGTCTGTCTGTCTGTCTGTCTGTCTGTCTGTCTGTAAGACAATATTGAATACTTTTACAAGGCCATATTAAAGTGATAGTATGCCTGAAATTATGTAAAAATATAAATGCAAAAAAATATTTTGTTTTTCAGTTCTGTGGAGCAGTGTTTCCACATGTGTGACAGGATGGTGATCTACTTCTTCATCGCAGCCTCTTATGCTCCATGGTAAGCATACTGGCTTGCTGTCTGTGTGTGAGAGAATGTAAATGTGATTACATAGGAACTCAGTTTGCAGCTGTTGCTGCCTCTCTTCCTATAGGCTAAACCTTCGGGAGCTGGGTCCGTGGGCATGTCACATGCGCTGGTTGGTTTGGGTCATGGCGTCTTTTGGAACCACCTATGTCTTTTTCTATCATGAGAGGTCTGTTCTCACACTGACACCTTTACTTAATTCAGACTGGCTTTCTGTCCATACAACTGACCAGTCATGCTTTAAATGTGGTAAATATCACCACAGCTAGTAATAATAATTAATGCTGCATCAGTTCTTTCGTTATATAAAAGCAGACATTTCAAATTTAAGTCACTTATGGGACAGTTGGAAGACGTGAGCTACTGGACCTGCCTGTTTGCCTGTTTTGGTCACATATCCAAAACAGGCAGGCCAGAGGTGTGAATAAAAAAATAAAAAAAACACTTAAGATGACAAGCAAGTCAGTGCTGAAGAGTAGATGTTAGAAAGATTAAATTTAATTGAACATCTTTAAGAAGAAGACCAGTTGCCTTCTATGTGCGCACTTTAGATTACCATGTTCTGGATGACTTATAATCTATACCAGTGTATTGAATAACTGATTAATTAACCCTAACCCACAGGGAGTCCTGACACAAGTTTTGATAACCAATTGCTTAAGCTATTACAAAACTACTGCTCTTTTGTTTCAAACTTGACATAATCGTTCAATAAGTTTGCATCAACTTCTGGCAGTTGTTTTGTCTGCCAGACGTCTAAGAATAAAAATCTGTTTTTATATTTGTTTTCTCTTTGAGGTATAAACTCATGGAGTTGATCTGCTATACAGTGATGGGAGTTTTTCCTGCTTTGGTCATTTTCTCAATGGTGAGGTCACTCATGTAATGCATGCATTGCACTGTGCTGTATTTCCAATATCAACACCTTATTCCCTCATGCTTCCCGCTAGCCGGAGCAGTCCGGGTTGTGTGAGCTGCTGGTCGGTGGAGCCTGCTATTGTCTTGGTATAGTCTTCTTCAAAAGTGATGGCATCGTCCCATTCGCTCATGCCATCTGGCATCTTTTTGTAGCTGTGGGAGCAGCCATACATTACTACGCCATCTGGAAGTACCTCTACGCCCAGACTCCCAGGCAGGTCCAGACCTCCAGATGACATCAGTGATGACTTCACAGGAATTGACTCCTGTGATTAAGCTGCTTGGGAGAGCTGTGTCCAAGTTCAAGGCTTGCTTCAAATAAGAATTAACTTAATTGGAAAACTATCAGTACATTTAGGCATTTTGACTGTTTGTGGGTGCACAAGCAGCACAAATGAGCAAATACAGGCATCCCTCTCTGGCGCCATCTTGTTTCATCTGACAGGACCATTTTCTACTGCTGCAACAAAAGCAGTCCTATCAGGCAGCTAGAAAATACAAACAAATGTGCTTTGCACATTAAAATCTGTGTTTGCTAGACTCTTTATGAAATAAAGTTCCCAGCTAGAAAGAAGTGCATACATATCCAAATTGCACACATTACTGGAAATCAAGTTGGAAAATCTATAGGCTTCAGAACCTCAGTCTGACCTACACACCAGTCACCAATAGAAAAGGTTTTATACTTTTGAGCACCAATGTTGCCACCAAGAAATATAGAGTGCAGAATATCACACCTGACAATATGCTGTATTCTCAGCAATTATCACCATTGCTTAAATTCTTTTATGCTGTTGATTGGATAAGAAAACAGCAGAGAAAGATTAATTGCTAAAAGATAATAGTGCAGTAGGATCATAATAACCTTAACATTAAAAGTAGGATTAAAACATTTCAGTAAAGTTCAAATGATGTTGGAGATGACACAACTCAGCCCAATTTTACTGGCGACCCTGCTACAAAACCAGAGGTGAAGCCTCGGGTAAAAACACAGATTGGCCCCAGCTGCTTGGAAAACCTTGTGCTTTTCTCAAGAATTCCTTCATTTGAGTCTTATCTCCACTGTCTCATAAGGAAACAATGTTGAGACAATGTTAATTAAAAGTTGGGTAAATCTTACAACAATGTCACAGCCTGGAATAATGATAAAAGATGTCAGATACCACCAACCTGCAATAGATTATACAACAACAAATGAGGTCTTTCATGAAAAAAAACAAACAAACAAAAAAACAATAGCAAAGACACCTTGTTGTGATTAATCTAAGGCAGTTTTGTAAACTTGGACACAGCTAGAATCCCCACTTTGGTTCATTTTAATGTTATATATATCACTGTATTTTCCAGTAATTTGATTTTATTCCAGTGATCAGGGGTTAGTTACTAGTATTGGAGGTTTTTCTCTCTGTGGTGCGCGTCCAGATTCAGTGTTCAGAGGCTGAATTCACGACATTGTCTTAATGTCAAGAGGAAGACAATGTTTACAATTAGCTGCCTTGACTATCATCATAAATTTAGCAATTATTGTAATCATAATTTACACCTGATAAACATGAGTAGTTCTTACTTCCAATCTAGATTTGTATATCACATAATACTGTTATTTTTATCAGTAGTTTTTCCTTTTTTTAGTGACTTACTGTAATTATCAACATAAGCATGAATAGACTAATTTATTAATGTATATATAGCATACATTTGTGGTTGCAGCCTTACAGACCTGTATACATCCACAATTATTTGGTACCTGATTATGTAGTATATTTACTGAATACTAACAGTTTCGTGTTGTTGGTTAGATTTTGCAAAGACGAATGTCATCAGTATCATTTATACAGAGATTATATTTTCCTGTGATGTGATTGTAGTGTTGAAAATAGGTGAAAACTAGTGACATACTTTGTCTGAAACCACAATGAATCAGCACTGCCAGAAGGCTGAATTACTGCCGTAACTGTTAGCTCACGCTACCATGATTAAACAATACGTCTTATCTGAAAGGAAACTGAAGCTATAGTACTTTTGCCCCAATATTAAGGCATCTCAGGAGTGTGTGCGTGCGTGTGCACGTGTGTGCGTGTGTGTGTGTGTGTGGGTGTGTGTGTGTGTGTGTGCGTGTGTGTGTGTGTGTATTACTTACTAGCTGCAGTTGTTTGTATCTTTTACTATCTTACACCCATTAATCCAAAATCCATGGTTGTCAGTGTTTACATATAAATAGCTTGAACATATAAGTATCTATTTGCTAAGAGTCTTTAACTCTGCTTGCCAAACAAGCTTATAGACTTTGATGAATGTGGCAGGAGGACCTAAAAGGTCAAGAACTCTAACATTTAAAGGAATAAAAAAAAAAAGCAACTGACTTGGATCATGTTTCAACAGTTGTTTGTTACTCAGGATTTTACACCCAATTTAAAGGACCACCAACCTGCATCAATTGTTTGTATTCCGTCTGGTTGTCACCACAGCTCCACTTGGTTACTTGCAAATGTTTTATACAAGTTTTACATGACGGTTACTATTCAGACAATAACTGAGGTATGCTATAAAGGACCCAGGAAGCTTGGTATCAGTCAGCTAAAATCAAGTTTCAATACAATGTTACCTATGGTAAAAACGTGTAAAAAGCCTTAAAATAAATTAATGTTTCATCCTTGTAGCATAATCTCACATCACTATATTCAAAAATATCTAAATTTGAATATAATCAAATGTATTCAGCGAGGAAAAAGTAAGGTTAGAATGTATACTTACTTTATTAAGCAAAGAGTGTTAAAATTTGAAGTAGATGTCCATGACTTCCTTTTCTCTGTGGTATAAATGTGATACTAATTTTTCTTTGGAGGACAACGTAAAAAGCAGGGGAACATGTCAATTCTGCTAAGTTATGTAATTCTTGCTCATATCTACAGTCAGGGCAGTAATAAATAATAAATAAAGTTAATATCCTGGATTGCAATGGGTGAAGATCTAGGTTTACCTTAATTTGCTGTCACATTGTTGTTCCTTATGGTGGTGTATTAGAAGTGCATGGTATGAAAGTCTTAATGTGAGAAAATGAAGGAGATTTTTATGAAACATCAAGTCCTAGCTGTCACGTATTTGAAGTTTGGGTGTTGCGTTTGATGCCCTGCTGTTCTAAGTAGTGCATGTGCAATAGGATTAATGGTGGGGAATGCAGTTGGTTCTGCTGCATCGTGATCAGCTAAATGAGATAAAATTTAATTTTCAATAATCTATGAGTAGTCAAATAATTATTGGCCAAATTAATCAGAAAGTATGTGAAGATGTCAATTTCATTGTGTTTCAAGTAGGGTGAACTGAAAAATTGTCCCCAATTCCTTAATTTTGGAAAATCAGCGATCGACTGAAACCTAAATGAAAAACCGGTCTTATCCATTGATCTTATCTACCTTGGCAAAAGTGAACATAATCTACTGTCACATTTTGCTCTGCTGTAAGAGATGAAGGACTGACAGGTCTGACCAACAGTTCAGATCTGCATGTGTGCTGTTAACAATAGTCACTCCTCGTTGCCAGCATAGGTATTTTCTTGCTATATTCGTCATATAGAATGGCTTTTCAGACAGATTTTTTCTCCCAATAAGAAACTGGTGTTGGACAAAGTTGAATTTGGCAAGTCAGGCTTTTTAAAATATCAGTAATCACGATCAGCTAGAAAAATGCGATCGGTGCATCTTCAGATACAGGATGCATGGTGTTTTGGAGCTGTGATGCTCATGTGAAGCGACATGTCAACATGTATCTGTGGCAGCTTGGTGATCTCCAGTGTCAAATGCATTGCAACATGTTGCCTGAGCATTCTTTTTCCCTGGCATTACGTTCTTCTATTCTACTGAGACAGAAAGCAGAAAAGTGTGTATTGGGTTATTAGAACTACACACAGTGAATAGGTAAAAAAAATCTCCACATGATAACTGCAACAGATTTTTCAGTGTGAGGTTATGCTACTGCTTAATTATTTTTAATCTCATTAATTAATCTTTACTAGGTATGCCAATATATGTGGAAGACTCTGTGAATCAAAATATGGATCTTGAAAATGTTTGAGTTTGTACAAGGATACACTGTGATCAACCCTGCTGACACCCATTAGTCACATCATTTTTTTAATTTTTAATTTAATTATTTTTTAATTTTAAAGAATGGCTATTACCATTGCTTTACAAGGTGGTCATAAGGAATCTCAATGCATAATCTGTTTATAGCAAAGTAAATCGTTCTGACAACATTAAGTAATGTATGAAACCAAGCCAGATACTAAGCAAATCTTACCCAACAAGTTTAGTTAAAGCAAATCTCTGTATTCAAACATTTACCTCCCTTTTTGATTAAAAAAATGCAATGTACAAAAATATAATGTGAATTGAATCATTAGAAAGAAGATTGACCAACTTCTAACTGTAAATCTCAAACAATTGTTTCATTTTTTTCTTTTTTTGAGCTGTAGATATTTCAGAAAGATGAACCAATCTAAAATTAACAAAACATCTTCTATATGATTACAAATGTATCACCACAGATAAGTGGGATATTAATGTTTATTGTAGATTTAAATATGTTTAAATGAAGCAAACATATTTAACTGATGCTAATTTGAACCATATTCATGAATACCGAACAGCTTGTATTTGTATTCTGTGTTTATTGACGCCTTCAAGATACATCAAACAACTGAGTGTTGTATTGTACCTTTATCATATCCAGTATTAACGCTACTTCCATAAGCAATTTAATTATTTTACTTTTCTCTCTTTATCTTGCTTACAGTATTTGTCTCTTTTAGAGATGTAGTGCACATAAGACTTTGTATGAATTCCAAAATTTTTACAAACGGCATATCTATTACTATTATTTTTAGGCTCTGTGATTATGAAGCTGCTTAGTGTTTTTAGTCCTGCTGCTGATCTCTCCCTGTTCCATGAAAGCTAAAGTATTTTCCCACATTTATGGTTCTATAGTTTTCAGTTTAGTTATTGTATCTGGTGCTTTTCTGTGCAGTGATAAGCCAATTTGATGCTAACAATGCTTTTATCTTTTCTATCTCTGTTATAATAAAATGCTTTTTCATGCACTCTATTGTTGAACTCTTCCTTTAAATGGTTTAAAACATTTTTTCTCCACTGCTGTACTTTGATGTGAAATCTTTGTTTGTCTCTTTCTTTGTGTGTATTTTTTTAAAACTTGTACTGTATTTACAAGTTTAAAATCAAGTTTGACCTGTCTACAAGTTTGGAGACAGGTCTTTTACCAGCTTTGCACATTTACATACTGAAAAGATCTGCCTGTTCTTCTTTGTCAAATAGCTCAGCCAGATTGGTTGGAGAGCATCTGCAAACATACATTTTCAATGCTTTAGTGTTGATCTTCAATGTCAACCATGCTTCTCTGTCCTGGGTTTTGGACAGTCATGGCTTGGCAGGTTTATAGATGTGCCATATACTTTCCATTTTCAGATGTCTGCAACATATTTCAAGGTGGGATATTGTCTTACAATCCAAAACAGCTTTGAACTTTTCCAAAACTTTACTCCTGGACCATCTGGTGTGTGTTTTGATCTCCACAAAACTTTTTGGTCAGTAATATTCACTAGCATATCTCAGATGCCTTCACGGGTCAGCTGAATTTATATTGACATGAAATCACACACTGATGGATTGTGTTTAGACTCCAAGAGGTCTCTGTTTGGAATTAAAACCTGGAGTTCTAGTCATTTCAGACTCAAACTTCTGTAAGTTTGAAATTTTATCATGATTAACTTCAAAGTAAAGGAAGTTTTTAATATCCATAAATAAATAAAATTTGAGACATGTGCATCAAAGGGCCATTAGCCACAACAGCAATGCCTCCGAAATCTGTCGACCATAAACAAAGAATTTAATTTTATTTGTGTCTCAGATAATAATGATTAGCTTGAGTAAAGCACTTACTCTCTTTTTCATCGAAGACGGCGCTAGACAGAAATTGAAGATTTAACACTTAGGTAAAGTTCAAGTCCACTGTAAATTGGTAGGTGTGACTTAGATTACTTTTAACGTTATCTGTTCTTTCCAAATACTAAACAGTCTCTCCAGTAAACCTACTCAATAATAATTTTCATTAATTTCTACCCTGTTGAGGGATTTTCAACCTGCTATTTGCATTGAAGACAGAGATAGTAATTAAGTGTCCGCCAGAGGGAGCCCTTTTCATCTCTTTAAACCGAAGCAGGTGTATTTTGGTGACGAGCAGGGCTCGGTCATTTCCGTCTCGTTTCGGCCGCGAGGCGTTGTGGATGTAGGAATGCGGTTACCATAGGGCTGTGGGCATTGCTGGGCACGCGGCGGAGAAGGGAACGGGAACCCACCGCGTCTGTCTGTTGTCCAACTTAGCGGGGCCGTCTCGGGAATGTGGAAGGGAACTCGAGACGGGGAGGCGACGGTGGGAACGGGGCAGCAGCATCTGTATATCCTCCATCCATTTTTTCTGGGGATTTTCTGTCTTTGTGGGGGGGAGAGAGGGATTGCGAGAGAAGCCAAGGATTCCCCGGCAGCACCATGGAGCCACGCACTGCAGACAACGTGAGTACTTTGAGGCAACAGACCCACAGAGAGCTCCCAGGAGAGTGCGCTGCTGAAGCACTCAACTTTTCCACCAGCTAACCTAATTAATTTAAAAAGGTAAATCATTCATATACGTTTCTATTTGTGGGGTGGTATTTATACTAATTAGATAATAGTATAAAATGAGCCGGAGTACAGTCATTAAGCACACCTGCTGACGGTCAGAGGCCGCGCCTGCCGACTCCTCAACGGATTAATTTCTGAGGATTTTCTCCTGCCTTTTGTTGCTAAGGCGGTTGCTACTGACGACCAGCGAGTCCGAAGTGGTAAACAGACGGACTACTGAATAACGGGGCAGACACAAGTTGAGCTCCACAGCTTTATCTCTCCGTGATAGTGGTGGGTGTGTGCACGATTAAATCCTGACCTTCTGGTGGTGAACACAAGGGCAGACAGCAGGTCAATAGCCTGTGAGACATTATTACCAAGTAGGTCTCAAATATGTCACTGTAAAACATAGAACCTACTCACTAGTTTTTCTTACTGTGAGTAGACGAAGGAGGGGTTTCCTGGGATTGATTTAACTGCAGCCAAGTGGCCAGATTACTGTGGATTAGGCGGCATTTAAAATAGTCACGTTATCCCAGCACTTCTTAAGTCTGCTACAACATCATCTATTTAGGCTGACCTACTACTATATTAAAAAAAAAAAAAGAATTTTATGCAGTTCAAGTGTTTGCAGGAGGTGCAACATTTTGGTGCAAATAGATCGGGTGGCAACTCATCAGTAAAGTAAGCTAAGATGGACTTGATTACAATATCTTTGTTTCTTTATCAGTCATTTCTCTATTCCCCTCAACACTGCAATGGTCTAATAAAGGTCTTTCTGTCAAACTAGAACAGAGGTCTTCAGAAACACAATATAATAGTAACATAGACCACATGGATCATTTTAAAATTGATAATGGTTTTCTACCATCATAATGCTATGATAACAGTACTTGTCTGAATACCAAAAGAAAGTAGTGGTATTTTAATGCAGGGTGATTAAAAATCCACTATTCATCAAGTTTTAAATGAAGACCTGATTCCAATGTATGACTTTCTCCATATGATATCAAGTGCTGCAGGAGCCTGCTAATGACCTATTCATTTAAATTAGGTGTGTGGCAGCAAGGAGGATCCAAAATCACGCTTCTGCTCTGAGGGTTGGGAACCACTGGTGTAGAGGGCCACATAAATACTAATGATGAATCAGATTCGGCCCCCTGCTCTCTGTCAGTTGCTCTTTGACTCCACTATATAACCTCTGGCCAAAAATGTTTCACAGTCACAGTGACATCTCTATGATCTGGAGTTGAACATAAAGTTCCCTTCTATGTTAATGTTTTTATAGTTTGTGTGTCAAACCCCAAAACATCCATAGTTTCAATAATATTATTTACTCAGTTTTGCTCATTTTTTAGTTATAAACTTAACCTTGATAAAATCAGCTATTCCCAGTGCATAAGTGTCAGAATACTCCAGCTTGGTATTTAAAATAGCAGAAATTCAATTGGTACTCATGTGACTCTGAAGGGACCTGAAGGACACTTTAATGTTTAGAATGACTGCTGGGATACTTTGATGTAACATGCCATATACTTGAATGTTTGTTTTTTGTTTTTTTGTTTTTTTCAGAGTGAAAGGTGACAGTGTAATGAAATGCAAATTGTCTGAGCCGGTACTGTGACCTTCTTCCTGCTGCAAAAGAAGTGATAATACTTAAAGTCAAGGTACATTTCTCATCTTGCAAATACTTTTTTGTTGTTTATCGCATTACCATCAGGATGAATTCATTTTGCATAGTACAGGGCTTACTATACAATAAATATCTTCGCAACTAGTGTGTGATAACCTCCTGCATCCATCAGCTCCTCTTTTGTCTGTCAGACTTGGAGTTTGTGAGGCCAACAGCATCATCATGTTCTATGGTTCTTCCTCTGGGGCCAGCATGTCCCTGCCATCCAAGAGCCGCCTGAAGCGCCAGAGCAGAACCTTTACACAGGTATGTAAACATCGCTTCTCCCATATGATATGATTTCTTGCTAGAAAGCTAAATAACTTTGATAAAATAAATGAATAAGGTACAGCTACTTGTACTGTCATGCAAAAGGATTGTTTAGGTTTAATTAGCTTTCCACTGGTCAAAGACTACAAAGCCCTCTAAAACTTTGATAAATGTCAGGCTTAATTTATTTACAGCAGATTAATTTATTTTAATTAGACAATATTCAGCAAAAACACAATTATCCATCTAATAACTTCATAGCTACTTGAGAGGGGTTGCATGGTGTCTCTTAATGGTAATTAATTGTGTCTAAAGTAATTCAAATACAAATGTCCCACACCATCTGTGAAAGTTGTCTTAGCAAAACTATTTGCAAAGCATTTTGAGTCCAGCTATGCTACGAATGGGTAAATATCGTTTATCATTGTCATAAAAAATTTTGTCATCAGGTTAAGTCACGCTGTGATAACGACATTCTCTAACTGATAATCTTGGCAATCCCCAAACTAGAGTGTGACCAAATTCCATTGAGAAAACCTCATGTCTCAATAATGCAAATAAAAAAATTCTGTTGTTTGAGGAAAAAAACAAAAAAAGTAGGATCCTATCATTTTTACCATACATAAAACATAGTTGGAATTGTAGAATTTAACAAACAAAGTCTTGCAACATTCACTGATATTGACAAGCAGGAAAATCTACAAAGTAGTGTCTGTGGTATTTTGTTCGCTCCCCTTGCTGTGAATGTCCTGACCTGGAAAAGGCTAACCTGGCTTACCTCAGCTCTCCTCTTCACTCAGACAGCGGGGCTTAAGGAAAACAACTAAATCAAAAATCCACTGAAACACAGAAATCAGGGGGTCTGACAGAGTTATAGTCATGTACTTCCACTAAAATGTCTGTGACCAATGGAAATTATTAAAGCAATCCCTCCAGGATTTGATGTACAACCCAATGTTTTTGAAAATTTTTGCTTAAAATTTGCAATAAACTCACAATAATTCATTAGTGTGAAAAAATATGGGTATCTGTTGATTTTTTCCTATTGAATGTTTCATGAAAACAAGTTTTCTTTTTACTGCAATATTTGTTTTGTGATTTTGTTCTTCCAAGTTCATGATGTGTACTTCACTGAATACATGCTTTTTTAGGTCCTGTACCGCACTCTGAGCTACAGAGACCGTGTCCCAGCAGAGACGGGGACAAACACTCGAGGGGATCGGCGCTCCACTACTGAACCCCCAGAGCGGCCAGCGGATGACCCCGCTGAACTCTCCACTCAGAGCTCGGCCCCAGGGGTGCTGAAGATCTTTGGAGATGAGATCTGTGCCGGTGCCAACTACAAGAGTGTCCTGGCCACGCCCCGCTCTAGTGCTCAGGAACTCGTGAAGGAAGCGCTGGAGCGGTACTCGCTCAGCAAGGATGCAGCCCGCGTCTATGTGCTGTGTGATGTGATCGGACGTCTGGAGGGGGGCGGGGCAT